CGTGTCGTTTATTAGATTTATTTATCGCGTATGGCTGTATGCCCATTGTTCTTACAGTAGAGTTCTGGAATTAGCGCTACAAGTTGGCCCGAGATGTAGCTCCGACGGAATTAACTCGGATTATTTTCTCAGAACTCTTGTCCGCGATATACGTTGCTCCAACTTTCTCGGGGGAGCTCCTCGCAGCGTCGAGTCGAAACGTAAAACGAAATTGACTACACGTGTGCTCCATAAAGCTAACGAATACTGATTTCCCCGCCGCTGTTTTATCACTTGCATTTTATTACTTGTATCGCACGGAATAGTATATCACTCGTAACGTTCACGATTAAGACCGACGGCTGACGATAAAGTGTACTGTAACTGCTTGTAAGTGGTATAATTGCCACGGCAGGGAACAAACTGACTTTCCCATCGCGCGTTCCGTCGCATCGATATTCGGATATGTTGTGAACGCGTTGCGTTTATAACGCAATTTTAGTTAACGAATTCTCCCTCCGGTATTTTTAATAAAACTTTCCCACCCGAAGATCGGCGTCGTTTGTTGATAGCGTGGCGTTTATCGCGCTCTCCTATTCCTATTCCGCCTCTTATTTTCCTTCCCGTCCAGCCCGTCCCGTGCACATGCGTAGGCGTTATTTGTCGCTGTGACGTAAGCACAGCAAAACGATATGGCCAAACTGGCGATGTGTTCGGTGAAATTTACGGCGACGCCGCTAATTGTCTCGGAATGCGAGATTGTGCAAGAGATTAGCGATAGCGTAAGTAATTAATGAATCGAGATACGACCTTTTTGACGAATGCTATCTCTTCATCTACGCGATACTTCCGACGATCGTAGATTTTAAGAACATACACCACGACACGAGACAAGCGATCTGAAACAAGACTCGTTTATACACAGTTCATTCATCTTCTTTTTTACCGCCGGCTATAAGCTTTCGAGGAAAAATTATGTCCAACACGTACGAGCGTAATCCCCGCAGCTACAGTTGGTAGGTGCCAACGGCGCTATTCGCCGAAGGGTGGTTACGGTGGTTTACCCCCGTATATACCCCCCTGGTTCGTGCTCGCTCGCTCGCTCGCTCGTTCGCGGAGTGTCTGACGATATCGTCAAGGTATAACTAACATTTGTGTCGTAATGACCGTTTGGTCAACGAGTTTGCTACTCAGCAGCTCCAAAGAGCAATTGAAAAACAAGAGAGAAAGAAAGCGGAGGAAGAGAGGGGAGAAAGAGAGAGAGACGAGGAAGGCAGAAAGGGAAAGAGGCAGAGAGAGAGAGAGAGACTGAACCGCCGGTTATCCACCCCCGCTGCTATCATATAACGACACGTCGCGAGTCAGAGGTTGCCGAGCAACGGGTGATGGTCGGCGAAGCGATGTGCTCGAGTCGAGTGGAGAGCGAGCGAAACGAATAATAACGAAACGGCCAGCCAATCCAGAAATTTAGCCGCAGGCCTGTGAGGCTCAGGAGGCGTCTCTCGATTGTAAAGTAATTGAAAACGTTTCTCCGCGCACGAAAATTAACGATTTTGCTAAAATGTCCGTAGGTTTTTAATAAAAAAAACACGTTTCAAAATTTAATTCCCTCTTTCGCTAAAAAAAATAAAAATAAAATGACGTTGAGATATTTGCGACATATATTTCGAATTATAGAAAAAAATATTGTTATTTTATCGAATTAATTACAATTTTAATTTAGAATATAATAATATATCAATATGGAAATCAATATGGAAAGAATTAATTAATTGTTTTCCATTGCATTTTTTCACAGTTTCATAAAAAACGTATCCCTTGTGCTGTACGCATTCAGCTATTGGCTCTCATTAAAAAGGATCGATAAAAATGCCGGGGCTAAGTAGGTTTAGGACATCGTTACATTTACAGTCGGCCCTGCACAGCTTTACAAACACACGCGGAAAAAGCTTTGGACACACTCGGGCGACCGGGGTGGAACAATAATGTACGATACATTCCAATTTCGCTCGAGTGGTCGCCATTTTATTACAGAGCAGTTCTATTAAGCAAAAGGGCGATTCCGGGTCGTCGTGCCGTATAGCGAAATGATGCGTACGTAAATATATATTACACCGTTTCGCACGCGCGCGGCTTGGATCGTACAGGGGGATATCTGCTCTCATATGTGTGCGTGTTATTTCTGGAAACACATGGAGAAACGCAAAGGGTAAAAGTCGAATACGTCATAGCATGTGGGTGGTATGGATTTCGTCTCTCTCAAAGAAGCCATGTTGCTTTTCTTTCCGAGATCCCTTTGTTTCGGTCGTTCTACGGTCGTTAAAATAAAAAAGAAAAGGAACAGGAATAGCGATGTTTAATTATTGATTATCTCTATTTCATCGTTCGTAAAGTATATTCGTAAAGTTTCAAGAGAGATAATTGTGGAGTGAAAGTCTCATTGACTCTTCTTAACAGTCGTATATATATGATCCATTTATCTTGCATAATTTAATTATTAACTTTGCCCATTACTTTGACGTGCCTAAATGAGTTTCAGCTGAAGTGGATATATTAATCTAAATTAAATACGTCTGATGTTATTAAACTATATTTATCTTGGTCCCTATTAGTTTAGCACCAACTCAAACTGGCGACACGCATAAGTGACATATAAATATTGCAGGTACAGCAATTAACAAATGAATAATAAATGACGTTAATAACACATAACGACGTCGCCCGCTCGCGGGACTTACAGCTCCATTCCTTTATCGGGGTCTCGTTCCTTTTGTGCTCATCGCTTTTTCTCCGAGACGCTCTCCCAAGTAGCGCCGTATCACGGAGATGATTTACCTTGGAAACTGTGAATTACGTTAGATAATGGCTCACCGTGAAACTTGGGACTTTAAAGTTGAGGAGTAGAATTTAAAACTCCGTTTAAAACACGATGATACGAGCATAATAATTACGACTCGGACAAATAAAAAACTGGCTGCTGCAAATTAATCTTTTTCATTAACATATTTCAACATATTTGAAGAGGAACGTATTCTTTTTCGCGTAGATATTTGAAACGTGAAATTGAGGAAAAATTCTTTGTGTGTTTTCTGTAATAAAAAAAAAAAAGAATGAAGATAATCGCCAGTTTAGAGGAAAATCTTTCATCCCGAATGTAATTATTTCTCCGCCTTTTATGCGAGCCGAGAAAAGGTATCAAAATCCTCATCTTTCCGCCCTATAAAATTCGGCCACGATTATGCAGCCCGTTCGCGAACAGTGCTAAGTCGTTGGCGACATTACGGTGAATTAATGCGATTAAGAATTAATTTCACTCGACTTAATAACTGTACGATTCCTGAAATATGTATATCAAAATACCACACGAAGACTAAAATTAGCATTTTGTAGTAGAAAGCATACACGAATTACTTAAAATAAGATGCTTTGAATTGCTCTCTGAACTAATAACATTGCGCAATAAATTTTACGTTCGATCGAAACCGTAGAAAATCAATATCTGCAATTTCA